CTCGTCTTTCCGGCAACGGCTTCAAGTTGCGGGGGGCGTACACGCAGAAGACTCCGAACACACGGCGGCCGAACTTCATTTTCAGTTGAACCATTCTGTCAGGAATTTGGTTGTATGACTTGATGAAGGGCGCCTGGCTTGGAGAAATTATTAAACCGACCCCGGACCACGACATGCCATCCGTATCAACATCTGAAAGAATTATGCGGCTCCCGGTGTGTTCGTCGACGTAATCCTCCACTTGTGTCTTCCGTGTTTCTTGCATGCGTAAGATGTGGATCTCGTACTTCTGCATACGGTGGGGGCATTTATATATATATATATATATATATATATATATGTGGGCGCCGAGCGGGCTCGGCGGTTTCATGCGTAAATTCTCCAATCAGCGCGCGGCGAGCCCCGCCGCGCGGCGTGCGCGGGCGGCCGCCGACCCCGCGGCTCTCTCGCGCCCGCGGGCCGCCGCAGCAACTGCGAAGCCACGGGCGCAGAGGACGCCCTCGAGCCCTGGGCGGACCTGCCGCGGCTCTTCGGCCTCCGCCCGCGGGGCCGCCGCGACCAGGCGCCGCGGCGCCGCGGCGCGCGGCGGCGCTGCCGCCTGGCCCCCATCGCCAGCCGCAGGTGGCGGGGGCGGGGCGGCCGCAGGCTGCCGCTGCGATGGCACGGGCGCCGCCGCGAGCGCCTGCTCTTCCGCCCCGTGGCCCAGCCTGGCCTGGAGTGCCGTCGCCCAGCACAGGCGCGTGCTCTCCATCGGCGGGGCCAGCGGCGCGAACGGATCCTTGGACGCAGGCAGGGTGCCCCGTGCGAAGTCCGTCCGCGCCTGGGCTCGGGGGCCCCTCAGGGGCGTGGGCTGCCCAGCCGCCGCGCTGGCCCCACGCGGCATGGCCAGGCCGCGATGCGCGCGCCTGGGGGGGCGGCAGTACCCCCAGCACGCTGAGCAGACCAGGGGGGGCTCGGAGCCGTTGCCCTCGACGCGCGACCCCCGTATGAGGTGGCCGTAGACCCTCGATCCCGCTGGGCGGGCCGCTTCAGCCGCCACCTCAGGGGCTGGGCCGCTGCAAGCCGCCGCTGCCGCCGCCCGCCGCGGGCTGGGCGCGGGCGCCGAGGCCTCGCGGCGCATCGACTGCTCCTGCACCCTGCGCTGGGGTGCTCGGCGCAGCACCTCCGCGGGCCTATCGGCCGAGGCGGGGCGGCGCCTCGCGGGCGACGGCCGCGAGCAGGAAGCGGCCGCTGCCGCCGCTGCTGCCAGGGCCGCCGCCGTGGCGAGGAGGGGGCCGCCGTCAGCCGCCGCGGCCTGCGCCTCGCCGTCGCCAACGTCAGCCTCCGCGACGGGCATCTGCATGTTGCCAGCCGCTGACACGACAGGCCCGCGCACCTCCGCGTCGTGCAACTTCCCGAACTCGCCGCGCCCCTGGGACTGCGACTTCGGTGGGCTGAATCCACCTGTCCCAGGGGCGGGCTCCGCCGCGGCGGCGTGCAGGAAGACGACCTCGCCGTCGAACTCTGCCACCAACTCGGCAGCTCGCAGCAAGTCGGCGGGGCTGCGACCTTGCCTCCAGCCCCCCCAGGCAGGGCACCTGTGGTGGCGGCGGGCCAGGGTCCCGCTCTCCTCGCCGCGGAGCTGGCACAGAGTCGCAGGCCTGGCGTCGTACTCCTGGACAGCTGCCTCCTTCCTGTCCTTCTCCTTGGCCTTCTCCGCAAAGAGGGCGGAGGAGTATCGCAGGGCGAAGCAGCAGCCGAACTCGTCCTGCTGGCAGTCGCCGTCGCCGTGGAGGCCCCTGTGTGACGCCAACGCTCTTCCGATCGCCCGCAGGAAGGCCTGCCCTTGCACAGTGGGCACCTGGGTCACCTCTTTCAGCGAGACGAGCTTCTTGTCTTCGAACGCGGTGCTGCCCGCCTGCTCGAACTTGTGCCCCAAGCTCCTGGCCACCTGCACCTGGTGCTTCATGTAGCCTACGTGCCCCACAAGGGGTGAGCAGCCCGCAGCAGCCGCTCTGAGCTGTCTGGCGATCTTCCCGAGGCGGAGGCGGCAACTGGTGAGGGGGCTGAGCTTCCTGACCGCCTTCCTGCGCTGCTGGTCCGCCAGCTTCTTCTTGACAGAGCGGGGTCCTTTGGCCCTGTCCTGGTACCACTCACCCTCGGAGATGCCGAGCTGGTCGGTCAGGTGGAGCTCCGCGGTCTCGACGGACTCCTTGAGCCTCCTGAACGGGAGCTCGAGGTAGGCGCTGACCTCCGTGACCGCGAGATCACCGAAGGCCTCCCTTCGGGCCAGGATGCGGGCACTGTGCTGGTGCCCGTCGTGGTCGGTCGCCGCCGCGCCCCAGGACGTTGACTCCAGCACTCCGACGCCCTCCGAGCCCGCCTGCGCCGCCTGCCCCGTGCTGTGGACGTTGCCGAAGGCGGCGCTGAAGCTGTTGTCCTGGCCCAGCAGCAGGCGTTGGCCGCCTTCTGGCTATAAGCGCACCGCCTCTCCTGCGCCAGGATGACGTCGTCACCTCCTCCATCCTGGATCCGCTCCATCTCCACCTTCTTCTCTGACCAGGTCGAGACGTTCAGCGTGACGAAGCTAGTTGGCTTCGGTCCCGTAGGCCTGATTTGCTTGGCCAGCTGGAGGGGCTTGGCCTGCGGTCGCCCAGGCTGAGGCTGGGCCGCAGGCTGCTCGGTTGCCGCGGCGGCCGCGGGGCCGCCAGGCGGGCGGCTGCTCGCCGCCTTGGGGCTCCGAACCTCAGGGGGTCTCACTCCCTCGCCCGTAGCCTCGTCAACTTGAATTGGGTACCCACTATGGCATGTGGGCCCCTGGCTAGGCTGAGGACTGCCAGTCCTTCGGTCGGGCCCAGCCAAGCCAGCCGCAGCGCCTGGCTCTGTCCTGCTGCTGAGCGCCTCGAACTCGGTGTCGTGGCGCACGACGCCGAAGCGCCGTTCCTGGCGCAGCAGCGGCACAATGAAGGGAAGTTCGACCCAGGCGTCGGTCGCCACGTTGGCCGCCTTGTAGGCGGGCAGGCCGCCGCCCGGCGCCGCCGCCGCCTCTGAGCGGCTGGGCGCCGCCGCCTCTGTCCCCTCAGCCCCGACAGGGGCGGGCGGCGCCGCGCTGTCGGGGCCGCCGCCTGGCAGCAGGGTGCTACGCGCGGGCCAGGCCGCTGCCAGCAGCAGCGCCAGCAGGAGGTGGAGGGGCCGCCGCAGCGGCCTTCTGGTCGGCAGCGCGCTTGCGGGCCGCCTCGTCTGCCGCTCGGCTCTCCATCGCTGCCGCCGGGGGAGTCCCAGCTCCAGGCGCAGCGTCTGCGGCGGGGGCGGCGGTGGCAGCAGGGGCGGCCGTCTGCCCTGCAGGCTGCGGCGGGGCGCCCGCGCCCTGCACGGGGGTGCCAGGGGCCACGGCTGCCGCAGGCCCCTCCTCGGTGCGCTTGCGCTTCTTGGCTACCTCCTCCGCGATCTGGCGCTTGATGCGCTGCTGGTGCTCCTGGCAGTTGCGCTCGAACGTAGCCTGCGCGCCCTGCATGATCTGGAGCCCCTCATCGCAGAGGCGCCTGAGGGCGGCCTGCGCCTCCTCCTCCAGCTCGGCGAAGTTGTCAAACGACTCCGCGTCAAAGTTGAAGGTGAGCTGCCTCGCGCCGTCGGGCTGGGCTCCCACGACGCCCGCCGCTTGGGCACGCTGGCGCAGGAGGGCGTTCTCCTCCTCCTTGGCCTCCGCGAGGCTGCCCGCAGCCTCGTCTCGCCAGGCGCGGCATTCAGCGAGGTGGTCCTCCGCCGCCACGAGCGCGTCCGCCGCCTCATCCAGCTGGCGCTGGAGGTTGATCCGCTTCGCCGTGGCCGACTCCAGACGTTGCTCGAGCGGCTTCGGCACAGGGGCGACCGCGGGCGCGACAAAGCTCCGCGCTTCGCGGGCCGCCTCCTGCAGCCTGGCTGCGATGGCTGGGTCCCCACAGGCGAGGAGCGCGTCGAGCTCGCTCTCGGGCAGGGCCGACCAGGGGGCCCTCGGGAAGGCGCCTCCGCCACGGCAGCCCGCGCCACCCCCGCCGCCGCCACGGGAGACTGCACCGCCGCCACCACGGTAGGCTGCACCGCGGCCCTTGCAGCCCTTGCCGTCCTTGGCTCCATTCTTCGGTGGGCCTCCGCCGCCGCCGCCGCGATGTGCGAGTTGGGGTCCGCCGCCGCCACCGTCCGCCCAGACCCCAACGCGGGGCGAAGGCTTCGAGGGCGCCAGCCCCAGCCCGATCCCGCACAGCCAGCACTTCGCGTTCGAGCGGAAGTTCCAACGGTACCGGCAGCCCGTGCACACGACGAAGCCAGGCACGGCCTTAGGCCCCATCGCTGGTGCGGTCGGGCGCGCTGCTCAGCTGCGGGCAAGCAGCAGGCAGGAGACGGCGGGGGCGGACCCGCCGACTCAGAAGAAGACTTGACCCGCAGGTCCTGGAAGGTGCTGCAGTGGCAGCTGACACACTTAGGAAAGGAAGGTGGCCTCAAAACGGAACCTCCCTCGCGCTCAGAAGTCGCCCCGAAAGACTCGCGGTCGTCGGGACGGTTCATGGCCTTGAGCCAAAATGGCTACGGACGGTGGGGGCATTGGATAAGAAAACATTGGATAAGGAATCCAGAGTCTGGAAGCCGGTGGAACTCCAATCGTGGATTCGCCATGGAGACCACCGCCGCCCTCATCAGATAAGGAACCCTCCAGGGTTTGCAGCCTCCTGGGCACATTCCTTAACGAACGCCCCCACCGTATGATTCGTTAGTTCCGCAAGTTTCTGGTCGGTGAGGCCGCGAACGTTCCAAGTAGCGCAACGTAAGAGACCCTGGGGTTCGCCGTTGTCGCCAAGTGGAGCCCTGGAAGGAGCACGAGGAGGCAGATAATGAGGCTGATGATGAGGATGAGGATGAGAAGGAGGAGGAGGAGGAGGAGGAGGAGGAGGATAAGGGATGAAGTGGGCGGAAGAAGAGAGGGAAAAGGGAAACAGAGAGCGGAGGAAAAGAGGAACATACGGAAAAGGAAGGCTTCGGTTCGCGTCCTGAACCAGGCGTCGGCGCTGCGGCAGTCGCGCGCCCTGCACGCGGCGCCGATCACCAGGCCGTAGGCGACGGCGCCAGGGCGGAGCCGCAGCTGAAGCGCCGTCTCGAACCTTCTTTTGGGAGGAGGAGGAGGAGGAGGAGGAGGAGGAGGAGGAGGAGGAGGAGGAGGAGGAGAAGGAGGAGAAGGAGGAGGAGGAGGAAAAAGAGAAAGGCAAGCCAGGTGCGCTCGCGCCTCATCTGAGAATCATATCCCTCAGGGCTGTTGCCATCCAACCATCGTGCATCGGCGCAAACTCA